GTTTTTTTTTTTTTTTTTGTTTACTTTATTTACAAGCTAGTCTCGGCCGAAATTTATATCAGACTCAAATCTTAGTCTATTTAAGTTTTATTTTTAACAATTATATGTGGTGAAAGACGTGGTTTTAATTTTTATGCTACTTTTATTCACATAATAAATTGTATGGCAGTGCTTCTACGCTTTGAGGACTAATTTTCTAGGTTTCATTTTTACTACATTTACAGTATTTTGTGATCCTCCATTCCTATTTTAATAACATAAATTTTATAAATATAAACAAAATTCTCATACTAAAGCATATGCACGATTCACAAAAGTTATATATCGGTCAACCAGAGGTTTACCCAGGTAGCAAATCAGTCTACTGCTCTGTCTGCTCTGTGGGTCCTGGAATCGAATCCGGCAGAGGAACTCCAGAATATTTTAGGAATGATCTGTTGGTGCCCGTTCCCTTTTCTCACCACTCGGCCGCACTCATTTTGGGTCTGGCCGAACCCATGACGGGCGTGGAAAAAAGCCCTTTTACAGATTAGTTTCCACAGGGTAGAACGAGTTTCGGCCCACCACTGGCCAAGCGGTTCAGTTCCCCGAACACTGGGAGTTCGGTCGTGGGTTCGCGCCTCGCCAGGAGGAACTGTCCACGTGGAGTTTCCGGGTTTTCTCCACTCTGTAATGTCCGAATAGGAGCCAGTTAATCTTGAAAAGACCCCCCGGAAGGCATTATTTCCCGCTTCCCGCGTATGGCCAAACATTAAGCTATGGCCGGCAAAAACGGATCGTAAGATCGAAGCATCGGAGGGAACAGCGTTTAAAGCTAGAAGTCTCCACATTGATCCAGACAACGGATAGAATAGAACGAGTTTTAAAATATTTTTATATAAATTGAATATAAATATTTAACAGATAATAAATTTCATCATTTAGTATTTACTGTAAATATATATTTTTAGAAATTATGTCGTTAACAATTTTAAACATACCTTAAACTAATATATATTTTTATATTAATATTATTATTATTATATAACAATTTTTGAAAACTTTTTACAGATAATAAAAAAATAATAAGAATAAATTACTTTTAATAATTTTCGATAAAAGAACGAATACTTTTAACATGATGTCATGTTTACATTTAGATCCACTTAGGGGGCGTTGTTTCTTTTTTGAATGCTTTCGTTATAAGCTGTTTATCGTCTGTCAAAAATTTTCACATGCTTTTTGATCGAATCATTCAGAAAATAAAGGCGAGTTTATTTCTTTTTTTGTATTTTATTTCAATTGTCAACAGTTATTAATTTTTATATATTTGTTTGTATTTATTGTAACATGGGTAAGATACAACTCTATATTTTAGAAAGTAATAATGGTAATGTATTATATTCTTCTACTACTCTCTTCAAATTAAATGATTAAATGATGAAAGATCTAACAGAAATTTACTATTTATCTTGTATATAGTTAACGAATTCTTGTGTATAAAAGGCATTAATGCATTAAATTTTGGTGTTTAAAGGTCAAAGGGGTGAGGAGATGGGAGTCGTGTGTTGTATCTCCAGGAATTGGACTTATTAATGAAGAGTTTACTCGTTATTAGCATTTATAATTTTTTACAAACCTCGTCTCTACCCTCAATTTAAGCCTTTTGTCATTTTATAATAATTCATAATAATAAAAAAAACAGATGGCCCCACATAAAATTTTATTTATTATGATTAAATTAATAATATAAAAGTTGGCATACTGGTGGCCAAGCAGTTCTGTTCCCTCAACGCTGGGAGTTCGGTCGTTGGTTTGCGTCTCACCCGGACGGGCTGGCCGCATACAGTTTTCCGGGTTTTTTCCACATCTGTGATGCCCAAATGGGGGCCAGTTACCCTTAAAATGATCTCTCAGAAGGCATCACCTGAGTGTTGCATTGTTGTAACTTAACAAAACAAACATAAAAGTTATTTTTTCAGTAAAATCTCATAACAGTCAGGAAAGTTACACAACTTGTTACTGGATAGTTTGTAATTGTGGGTATTATCATCATTTAATATTATCAGAATTTTAGTAAATCTAATCTTTCCTATGTAAGTTAAAATAGACTTATAAAGTTTTGTTTATTGTGATCAGATTTTGGTTATATCTATCATTATCTTCAAATAAATAAAATCCTATCTTTCTGTGCTATTTGCTTTGACATATAACTGATAATATGCAACCTTTATTGATCTTAACTAGCATTTTTTGGTTCAGAGTACTCTGACTAAGATTCATTAAGTCTTTTACTTGAAGTTGATACTCGATCTAAAACTTGAAGAGTCTGAGTCCAAAGTATATTTTAACAACATTAAATAGAAGTTATTGAAGCATTATTAGTTAAGATGCAAGGAAACAAAATGTAATTAAATTAATAAAGACAACATGATACTTGTATTTTACTAATTAGTAAAGATAATATACAACTAGCTTAGTTTTGTTGTCATATCTACACTAATGACATTACCATTTGACACAACAGAATCTCTAAATTGATTTCAGATTTTGCAGTGCAGAAAGTTGAAAATATTTCAAATCAGTGTATGCTGGTTCAGAAAATCATAAAAAATCAAGCAATTTATCACAAATCTAACATCACCATTACAAAATACAAGTACGTATATATTTATTTATTTTATGAAGATTTAAAAGAAAAACAAATAAAAGTAAAAAATTCCAAACAAATCAAAAGTTTGGAAATTCTTTAAGACACGCTCAAGTTCAGAACAGTGGCAGATTACCTAATAGACACACTAGGCATGCGCTTAGCACTTCATCACTTCGGGGCTCAAAAATTACATAAAAAAAGGGTAGTATGTCTCCTAAAAGTTTAGTGAATGTTTATAAGATGTATATTATAAAGAAAAAAAACTTGTTAGTATTTAAAGATTTTATTGATTTTAATGCCTTTTTAAAATAAAAAAAAAATTAAACAATTTTACATAAAGGACCTTGTAACAAAATTGCATCTAGGGCCTCAAAGGAATGTAATTCACTATTGGGTCAGAAGCAGAAGCTTGACAGCTGGATGGCCAAGATGGTTAAGGTATTAGCATATTGCTGTGGGAACCTAAGATTGAGTCTGGGTCAAGCAGCTTTCCTAGGAATTTTTCATGGTCAGTCTGCCCTGGATAAGTTAGGTTTCATTCCTCACCATCTAGCCAAATCCACTATATGTATGAAAAATTGGACCTCAGTGCAATAGAGTGAAGAGAGTAAAATAAAACTAAACTTTTAAGTGAAATATTATGCAAATTTATGGTAAACTTTCTAAATATTTACTTGATTTATAAGGCATCTTGTGTCATATAATAGTGGTTCATTTAGTACACATTTGAAATGTTATGAAAAAGTTATGCAAACAATAATAATTTGGTAATTATAATTAAACAGATGTTTGCAAAACAGGATATGAATTTTAATTAATTAATTGTATTTGCTAAATGTATGAAATCTCAATATAATAGCCTAAATAAAAAGTGACTAAACTAGATAAAAATATTTTATTTAGACTCTTAAAAGTACATAGATTTTTTTCATTTTAATATTGTACTGTAGATATCAAATTTCAATAAGCAGGAACTGATATATAGTATTTAAATATGAACTTGGAAATCTAGACTCAACTTGAACTCTTAAGTTGAGTCTAGTCTCAGAATGCTGAGTTTTGCCAATCCTTAATATTAACCAGTGCTTTAAACAATTAAATATTGTTTTTTCATTAATTTCTTGTAGTACAATAGTTTGAATTAATGATATTTCTTAATTCAATGATATACTATATGCATTACTATTAATTAATAGTTAAATAAATCTTTGTTATACATTTTTTTAAAATTGTTTTACAATGTCATTTTAATGTCAATCAACGAAATTAGAATGTCCATTAATTCAACTTTTATTTACTTATCCCTTCTTACTGTTATCAGTCAGTTATTGTAATTAATATAGTTGAGTGTCAAAACTATTATATTAAGCAGATTCTTTTATAATAAAAAAATTGTTTAAAATATACAAAATATAAGAATTAATACAATTTTTAAAATTTACTTTAGAGAGTACAATGGTGTTTGGATTATTTGATAATTATCAAGCCTTTAATAATCAGCAATATGAATCATTGAAAAAAGAAGCTCAAGAAAGTGGAACATTATTTGAAGATAAAACTTTTTCAGCTGATGATTCATCTCTTTTCTTTAGTGATCTTCAACAGCAGCAGTTAGAAGGAAACATTGAATGGAAAAGACCAGGGGTTAGAAAAATTTATTTAGTCTGTCTTTTTATAATTTAATAATAATGTTTTTTTTTTTTTTAAACTTAAAGTTATTTAATTTATAAAATTAGAAAAATCAAAATAAATGAAATTGTTTTCAAAAACTATTATTTTTTTTATCAAATTAATTTATTGTTTGAATGCATTTATTATTCCAAAAATTTTTGAAATTAAACTAAACCAATTCAGGTGATTAGGGCATATAACTGATCTCCACAAAACTTTACTTCGACCAGAAATATTTTTACTGTTATTATAGAATGGAACAGTTGTGCAACAAAAATCAATTACTGTACATTTCTCACAATTGTAGACTCACTTAGAAGATGCACTTTAATAATTTTCAAAGTATTAGATTATAGAAATTACTACTAATATTTTCCTCTTTACATAAATTTTTTATAGATTGTACTCTATCAAAAAAAGTAGTCATTAAATTTTGATTTTGAATTTTTATAAATGAAAATTTTTGCATTGATAATCTTGAAGTCTACAAGCTCTGCTGTTTTATCTTTAGGTCATATTGAAAAATCTATGACTTAGAAACTGACAGTTGTACATCTGAATTCACTACATAGTATGGACAAACTCTGTATTACAGAACTCCCATTTATCCCACTTTCCTATTTTTTTTTTAAATGTTCTACTTTGTCCTACTTTCTTTTAGCATGCCCTACTTTTCCTATATTTTGAATATTTTTTTTTTTTCCTTTTTTTTTTTTTGAAAATTTATTACTTTCAACTGCATCAAAATTTTTTGTAGACTTGTGTTTTCAAAATGCTATACCTATTTTTTTATCTTAGTTGTTCTCTACATTTCACAGAAATATACCAACTATACAGTGTTACATACAGTAAAACTTCTCTAACTTAAATGGCACCCAGAGTAGAGAGGGTTTAGTAGACCTTAGTATACATGCAACAGATTTACTATCCCTGAAATAGATTATCTAAAAAGAATAATTGTGAACAGTTGCATGGTTAAGAGTTTAGAAGAAATGAATAATAATAAAATTTAGAGAGAATTATATAAAAATAAAAATCAACATTAAAAAATGTTTTTAGATTATCAAACATTTAGAGCTGTTTCACACTATGACCGACTGGCCTGACTCCAAGTCGTGTTGCCATGGCAACAGCAGTCTGCCGACCGACTAGTCGTTCCAGTCAGACAAATTTGAAAAGTTAAATATTTGTAGTTGGGTCGGAGCTGTCGGTGAGCTACAGCCAATGAGAGCTTTGAAGCTATAACCAATCAGAGTTTAGATTTATCCAATCTACATCAAACTTAAAAAATGGCGGAAAGTATAGATTTCTCGGAAGTTTTAATAAACGAAGTCAGAACATATCTGTGGCTTTATAATATTCGGTGAGCCGATTATAAAGACACCATAAAAAAAAATAATGCTGGGATGGAGATTTCCAAGAAACTAAACGTTGAAGGTACATGATTGAATAATCTAATAATGACGCGATATATCTAAATGCGCAATCGCTTTCCATGACGGCCATGTTTTCTGTTTAATTTAAAAAACTTACCATAATCGGCTAGTGTATTGATCTATAACGTGCGTTCTGATTGGTCCTTATGAGTCGGCCACCGACATATAATCGTACTTAGTGTGAATGCTTTTACTACTAGTCGGTCCAATTATAAAATCAATCAGGTCGGACCAGTCAGTCCAGTCGGTCATAGTGTGAAACAGCCCATACTGCTATTATTTTAAAAAGGTAAAGATGCTGAATTGACTGAAGAAAGTTTGATTAAAAACAACACAAAATGTATATTTTTAATTAAAGATTTACACTTTCAAGTAAAGAAAATCTTTAGTTATTACATAGACTATAAACTGCCTAAAGTAAGAAAAATTCATTCTACTTAGTTTAAAAATTTATTATTTTATTATACAGTCATAAGATTACAAGAATTTATATATTGTTTTAGTTTAAATAAAAATATATTTTTAGAATGTTAATTATTTTTAAATACCAGAATGTTAATTTTGGAAGTTTCATAGATATAAATTTTAGATACAATTAATTCAGTTTTTATACAAATATTTTAATTAATTTAACATTGTTTTATATTAGGAACTGTGTGATGACCCAAAGTTGTTCGTTGATGGTGTTTGCAGCTGTGATGCTGTCCAAGGAATGTTGGGTAACTGCTGGTTAGTTGCTGCTTGTTCTGCATTAGCCCAAGAAAAAGAATTATGGAATAAAGTATAGTATGATTTAAATTAATATCTTTAAATATTAATTAAATGATTGTAATTACTAAATTTTTTCCTAAGTCTAACTAGTACAGAGGTTTATACTTTTTTTAATGAGAAAAAGAAAGAAAGATAAACAAATTGTGTTATCTTTTCCAATTTAGGAATTCATAGAAAATATTTATTAGGTGGCTGAATTTTGCTCTATTCTCTTCATTATTTTTTTCGTTTCATTTTTATGTATGTTCAAATTTTCAGTTGTTTCTTTAATAATTTTGAATTCTATTGTTTGAGAAGTTTTCAAATATGATTGTTTTTCTCTTACTTATTTTATTAACAATTTAAAAGTTCAGAATAATAATGGAATGTGTGTGATAAGTGATAAGAAAACAGAAAGAAGTTATAGCAAGCAGGAGTATATCAGGTCTTAACAGAGAATAAAAATTCAAAAAAAAAAATTGTAAATATGTCTTAGTGACAGGAAAAAGTTTGAAAAAAATCAGTTAAAGAAACAGCTTTTCAGTTCTGAAATTGGAAATGAAATGATTCTGCCAGAAGTTGTTTTGGATAGACCAATGATGTTTTATTTGATTGTGCTAAGCTAATTATGATAGTAAAGAAAAGAAAATTGGCAGAAATTGTGAAGACCCAAAAACATATTTTTAAAAGGTAATATTATCAATGATAAATGTGCTAATATTCTTTAGGACTGTGGAAGTGGCTGTATGTAAAAAGTGTAATCAGAAAAGTGAATATGTTTTAGTTAAATTTGTATTTTTCAGTCAACCATCTGTTTTCAGTTCCAAAAAACATTATACAGTCAACCCCCCTTATAACACGGTAGATATGTTCCGGTTTTATGAAATCCATTTTCTACAACTCCTTAAATACATGAGCCAATCACAGCCCGGCACATATGCAGTTTACGGTCTACAGCTGTTTGAAAGGTTTTCTTCCATAAAATTAATTGATTCTAGACTAATTCGACCCAACATTTCCAAAATATGTATAATTTTTTGGGTACTAATCCATATAAACTATGCTATAAAGAAAAAATTGTAGGATTACTTACCGAGTGTGCACCATTCGACGATGCCATTGCTTAAGCTTGTTTTCGTCGTGGAGCAGTTCATTGAATGGCGCTTGCGTGCTTCCTGATAAATTATTTTTCTGCGAAAACTTTGCTGAACTTTGGAGACATCTACTAAAAATATAATTTTTATGGACGTTAAATAATAAATGGTTTTTAATAAGTCCGCTGCTCGTTTAAACTTAATGGTTTGTGCAATATCCACTATTGGTCTAGATGCAACCAATCCTGTCACAACACAAGCCGGCGATGACGTTTTACTGAATTATACGAATCTCTTTTAGCATGCTTATATGAATACAGTTGCAATTTTTTCACCGTCATGTAGGAATCCGAACTATATGAACTTGTTTTATAGGGGTCTACTGTACATTCTTTTCTGAATTTGTATGCTCATTTATATTAAAACAATAATATACATTTATTTATAGATGTATATATAGTCTTTTCAAAACAATGTTCACACACAGTTTTACAAATTTACAAATAACAATAACTCTGGAGAGGAGCTACTTAGTGGAATAGTGTCTTGGAACATTGTTCCACTCAATCCATCTTCTGCTTGAGACCATCATTAACTAAACATTTAACCATTAATTAAGACTAATTAGTGACTTTCTCTTATTCTAGTCATCTTGACTTAGTCTAGTTCAAACTTTTGTTACTTTGAAGTTCTTGGGCACTACAAACTTCAGTTTACTGACTTTTTTATGTTTCTTCATCCTACAGAAAGTTTTTAGTTTAGAGGTTGTTCAACTCTGATTCTAGAATAAACAAGAATAATCAATTTTTATTTTGCCTTTAAATTTGGCTTTTTCCTTTGTAGAATTTTCTGAATCAGATCTCTTGAATTATATCATAACAGTAGAATTTTGTTTTTCACCAGTTTGTTCTGAAATGCAATACATTTGTTGAAAAATGAAGTTGTTCAATTCTTCAGGCAATCAGTGCAAACAAAATCTTAACAGTTTTGAGTGCACTACAGTGGACAGGAGTCAGGTTTACAAATGACTCTTGCCACTACAGTGCACTTCACTGGCAAATCTTGGAATTGGCACATCAGTGTTCATCTTGTTTTCAATTTGACAATAATACCTCAAAAAAAGGGGTATACCCAAAAGAAACCCCCTAGCAGGAGACCTTTGTGAAATCATTGTGCACTGCTTTGAGAATGAGGTACTCCCAAGCATTCTTCCAAACATCTTTATATAAGAGGGTACATAGATAACATCCTCATTATTTGGCATTCAAAACCTGACATTAATGCCTTCTTACAATAAATGAATGACAACCTTTATGGGCTGTCACTAGTTGTTGAGCGGATGATTAACGCAGAAGCCCATTATATGGATATCAACATCTGATTCGTTGTTGACTGAATTGAGACCACAGTTTATCACAAACCTGACTCCTACTCGTTATACATATTTTGTGCTCTAATGATATATGGTTACAAGTTGGCTGCCTTCAGAGCACTCATTAAAAGAGTGCATACTCATTTTCCAACTTGATAGATACTAAAACAGAACTGGATCTGATCACCCAGATAGCCTGAGTGCTCAGCTTCTGTGAGGACTTGATCTACCTGCTAACTGATTGTATGCAGCTCAAGGTAGTGATTGCATCAATATAAATGACAACACCAACTGTATGGGAAGATGAACATGAGTGTTTAGTACACCAAACTACCATATATCCATGCTGATTAGTGCATGAGTGTTTACATAAAACTGGAAAACGTGCAAAATCCAAAATAACCCTTTAAACTATAAAAAATTATTCAGAAGTTTTAAATAAACAATAATTTGTATACTGCTCAATTTCTTTGACCTGATGCAAATGTGAATCCCAAGTTTCATAAGCTGAAATGTATATTTAGTCAATAAACATAAAATGTAGATTTATTTTTAAAAATATCATATAGAAATTTAAATTTTACATTTTTATAAACATAAAAAAAATTCTTTATAAATTTTTGTAACAGATAATACAATTAGTAAAATTAATTTTAGGTAATACCTGATTATAAAGAACAAGAATGGGATCCTGAAAATACAAATAATTATGCTGGTATATTTCATTTTCGATTCTGGCGATTTGGTAAATGGATTGATGTTGTCATTGATGATTTACTTCCTACTTTGAATGGACAGTTGATTTATATGCATTCAAGAGAAAAGAATGAATTTTGGGGTGCTCTTCTTGAAAAAGCTTATGCAAAGTAAGTAGAATGTGCTTTACATATTATTTATTAATATTAAAAATTTAAATATGTTGTGTTATTTGTATTGATATAATCTAGGTTTTTTACAAAACCAAATTTTTAAAATTAAATATGCTTTCTTTTTACATATTCATTCAACAAGTTGCTGAAATTTGTATATATTTTTTATTCAAAACTATTGCTTATGGACAAAAATCTTATACTTTCATTACTTTTTAATGCAATAAATTTCAAGACATTTAGATATTGTATTATTCAAAACAAATGTATTACATTAATTGCATTCATTTTATAATATACAGACTAAAATTTATCAAAAAATAAAACTGATTTATTTTTGTACAGTTTTGATGTATGTATTTTATGGAAAATTCTTAAAACATATAAAATTTTTATTAATAATATAATATAAAAATCTCAAAAAATATATGTAAACTAGCTGATGTATCTTGTGCTGTCTTGACAAAAAGTAAGAACAACAACACATTAAAATAAAAATCATATTAAGAGTTTGGTTACTTTAGCTTACCATTGTTCATGTTTATTGCAATACTCAGATAATACAAAATGGTGCATTGGTGTTGTGAGTAAACATGAATTGATGTTTTTCAACAGAAGCTAGTTGTTGACTTTTGTCTGTACAAAATAATTCGACATCCAAATTTTTTCTAATGTTAAATATAATGTATCATTTGCAGTCTGAATATGAAATGGTAATGGCTAATCAATCAAATTTCATGAAAAATGGACCAAATAGTTAAACTCAGCACTCTTCAAAACTCAAAAAAAGTATTTTGTGCTTGCTGTTAACTTTATATTAAATAACTTTTTAATTCAAATGCCACCATCCTACTAGCCAAATACAGTAGAAAGGGGATCTGTTGCAGATGGGAGTCAAAGCTAATTTGACCAAAAGTAGTCATTAACCTCCTCCTCTTGGATCAGAAAATTGTCTCTTAAGAGTTTTATTGCATTTTTTTCAAGCCATATTAAAATGTATAAAGAACAAACTAACTTTCTTCTTTGTGTATTAGATTTAAAAAACATTTCTTTTAATCAATTGCTCTCTATTAATACAAGAATTATGGAAAATACAAGGAATATATGACATACTTTTAACAATAAAGTTGATGTCAGTTAACTGATTTTAAATGTTGTACATATAATTTAATTCTGTTTTTAGGGTTTGGTTTTTTTTTTACTCAATGGAAACTCGATGGACACTGAGAGGGCCTTTTTCATATTCATTGTGAATTTACCAGACCTAGAATGAAGACAGCTAGGTAGTAAAGGGGGGCTGTTTGCCCCCCATTACCACTTGTCTTCATTCTAGCTGTCTTTACCCCCTAAAAAATTTCTGGGGCTGTTTGCCCAATTTCAATCCTGTCCCCTAGAGTAGTAGATTTTAGACACCTTAACTACCTCGGTGATTTGGCCATCTTAAGTAGTTTTAAAACTAATTTAGTTGTTAAGAATAAGCAATAAATGATTTAATTTTTATATATATATTTTTTAAGGATATCTGGAAACTATGAATGTTTGGAAGGTGGAAATTTATCTGATGCTTTAATTGATTTTACTGGTGGTATTTCTGAAGTGATTGAATTACAAAAAGATGATTATAGTAATGATGAAGTAAAAAGGACAGAATTATACAAAAGAATGAAGAAAGAAATAGAACAGCATTCATTGATGTGTTGTGCATTACATGTAAGTTAAAGATTTTTATATATATATATAAATATAAAAATCTTAAATTTGAAGAGACTGAAAAATGGCCAGTTTGAGTTATGGAGCATATATAAAACCCATCCAATAACTACTTCAAATATCAAATAGCCTATTTTTAAGGGTAATTAATTATTAAGTAATTTGGCTAGTGTTAGATGATTAGGCTACCATCTCTTATTAAATTTAATAATTAGAAATAAATGAACTAACTTTAGAATATTTTGGAAGAGATGATCAGCTCAGAGCAGGATTTAAACCCACAACTCCTTACTGTGCAGATGCATTGTCATTTACACTATCCAGATCTCTGTCTGATCTCTCCATCAGTTAATTATTAATTAATTCGTCTGGATTCAAGTTAAGGCAACTTAAACTGGCAAAATACTGATGAACAAAGGATACATTGCCTGGTAAATTGGCTTTATTATAACTGAATAAATAATCTAATGACATAGTTTGTTTCATTTGAAATAGATTTATCCAGCTGTATTAAAGCTGCTTCACCAGGCAATACACTGACAATATTCACGTTAATACAGTGGAATTTCTAAAACTCGAAACAGTCAGGAAAAAATAATTCAGACTTTGATTAAAAAGTTCCAAGTTATGATGTTTGACTATATTTCAAGAAACACTTGCAAATTTGACCAGAAATTAATTCTAGGAAAAAATTCAACTAAATACATTTAGTATATTTTGTATGACTTTTACAGTCCTGTATGACCCACAGGACTGTAAAAATTATTCAAAATGTCAATAGTTTAAGTTACATAAATAATCTAAAGTATCCTTCTTTGTGAAATATAAGATAATTTGTTCTAATAGCTTCATATCTTAAACTTCTCTATTGGGCTTTTTGTGAAGCAATGAAATCTTTCTTTACTGTTATTTTTTACTACTATATGTTCCTTGTTTCAATAACTTCATTCACTGAAACAAAGAACCTAATTAAAATTGAGAATAGATTGTTATGATATTCTAAATTCAGCTAGTCTGGAAAAGTCTTATCAAAATCTATTCAATTCTTTTCAGATAGCAGTTACAAAAATTATCATTGCTCTGAGATTCAATTCAGCAATCTCAAAACTCTAATATTAAAGTAGTTATTTATTTTTTCTGATCTCATTATATAATTGATAAAAATAATTATAAGTGATAAAATTTTTAGTAATTTTTGAAAAGTTATGAAAACTTTCACAAACTGTAGAATTTGTATTTCATTAAGAATTTTTTCAATTCATTTTGAATCAGTAATCAATGATATAGGTTTATTTATTTCTTTGTAACTACATACAGTAATTATTACCTTAAACATATTAAAATTTTAATTGTTGAGATGCACAGTACATCAAGTTAGATTTTGTATAATTTTCTAATACAGTAGACCCCCCTATAACACGGGTTCCTATATATAGTTCAGATTCCTATATGATGGCGAAAAAATTGTGACGGTATCCGTACAAACATGGTAAAAAACTCCTATAATTCGGTAAAACGTCATCGGTCAGCCGAACTACTTTCCACCATCCAGCGCCATGCTACGGAGAGTTTAGGCTGGTAAATTGAGTTTACTATCGTCTGTACAGTATGTAAATTAGGTACCATAAGTCTAATACAGTATAATAAAAAATGTATAAAAAGAATTTTATACATTTTTTATTCAACGGCCATAAAAATTATTTCTATTAATGATGTCTCCAAAGTTCAACGAATTTTTCACAGAAAAATAACTTATTAGAAAATGCACCTGCTGTTTGGTGCACTGCTCCATGATGAAAACAAGCTTAAGCAATGGCATTGTCGAACGGTGCACACTTGGTAAGTAATCCTACAATTTTTTGTTTATAGCATAGTTTATACGGATTATTCCCAAAAAATTATACATATTTTGGAAATGTTGAGCGAATTAGTCTAGAATTGATTAATTTTATGGAAGAAAACCTTTCAAACAGCCTTAGTCCGTAAACTCCACATGTGTTGAGGTGTGATTGGCAAGGACTCGTACGAGATGGATTCATAAAGAACAGAACGTATCTACCATGTTATAGGGGGGTCGACTGTACATTGCAAAATTTGCCTAAATTTAATATCAATTATTTTATATATATGCATTATTAAGATACAATCCATTCATTATGACTAAAAAAGTTAAATTTCATTAAATTTTCAGTTTAAGGTATTGTATACTTTTAATTAATATATCTAAAACGTTTTATGAGAAATGTATTGCTATAAGAAATATATATATATATATATAT